TTTTTTTTTTTTGACTTGTTATGTTAAATTGACCAGTTAGTTCAAACAACCTGTTAATGCATATAAAACAGTAGAGCCAAGTGTGATCTGCATTGACCAGCTATAAGAGAAAATGTAACAGACTGTCAGTTTTGGCAACACCATTTTGTAAGTGACTAGTTCCTAAAAATGTATCATTCTCAGAAAATGATAATTAGCTTATTGTCCAGAATATATTTTAGTCGATGAGCAGCTCTTGAAACTAGACAGAAGTAAATACATTTGAACGTTTTCAAGTGTGTTAAGAATATTTTATTAGCTTCATAAGTAAAAGTTTCAAAAGATTTTTTATTTTCTTGAGAAATATATAATTGCTGTCCCAGGCTCAGTTTAAAGTCTGAGGGGGTGATGGGGAAAGGATGAGGTGAGAAGATCCCTAATGAACAAAAGAGTAGGGAGATACTGGCCTAAAGGTGATGAGCTGGAAGGGAGAGGTGTGAGAGTGAAGGGTCTACCATACATAAGTTTGAAGGGGCTGAGGCCAGTGGGTTTGTGGGGGGCAGCTTGCAAACGAGTGAGTGCTGGAAGGATAAGTTGGGTCCAAGGGAGGTGAAGTTCCATGGACAGCTTGGTAAGGTGTTTTTTTATGAGGTGATTGGCTTTTTCTACTTTGCCTGATGACTGAGGCCGATATGGTATATGTAAGTCCCATTTGATATGTAACACCTGTGCTGTGAGTTATGTAATCTGGGAAATGAATGCTGGGCCATTATCAGACTGGAGGCTCGCAGGCAAGCCAAAACAAGGGATGATTTTAGAGGTGAGAACATGTGTTACTACTGTAGCATCCTCTGAAGTGCAGGGAAAGGCCTCAATCCAACCTGAAAAGGTATCTACTAAGGTTAGATGATAGCATGTCCTTTTGTGGGGAGGCATGTGAGTAAAGTCAATTTGCCAATGCTGACCAGGAGTGTATCCTCTGGCCTGGTGGGTGGGAAAGGACTGAACTTGGAGGCCACCTTGATTGGAGCAATGGGTACACAAAGGACAATTTTGAGTGATTTGTTTAAGTAACTTGGCCATGTGGGGAGAGTAATATAAGAGCTGAAGAAGGCATAGTGGTGGTTCATAGCCTACATGAACTGAATTATGGAAATCTAAAATGATTTGCTCAGGCCGGCCCGGTGGCGCACTGGATAGTGCGCCGCTTGGGAAGCGCGGCGGCGCTCCCNATTTAGAGTTTGTTTTTTTCCAGACATAATTTCTGTTAGGGAAGTGATATTCCTATGTCGTTTCAAGAGAGAATCTTATCAATTCCTGATTATATCTGGCAATTTCCAGGATATGCAAGAACACTGCTAACTTCTGCAGTCCAGGACGCATTTGGCTAAGGTGTTCATTTCAAGTTTAGAACTAATGGACAGCATAGGATTGTCAGATATTATTTTACTCTCTCTTTCTAATGCTGTGGACTTTTGCATGCTAAGCTTATTATGTTATCTCCATTTTAAACAGATGGCCGAGTAAAAATTTGGGTCTATGGCGTTTCAGGTGGCGGTTTTCTTATCATGATTTTCCTAGTATTCACTTCCTACCTTGTTTGGTAAGTACTAATTAGTAAAAAGTTTCCATTCCATATTTTTATGGGTGACATGTTACACCAAAAGAAAACATGTCAGGATCATTGGCCATTGTAATAGGACCCTTGAGGCCACAAATGATCTTCAATAGTAGAATGGTTGAATGGTTGAAATAGAGAACCATTATCTTTATTGTTCCTATTTGAAATAACATTCTTTTATTTGGTTTTCCAATAATATCAGAAAGTATAAAAGGCAAATCATTAGTCAGGACTTCCCCATTTTAGTATTTGATTTAGATCAGTAGTTTTCAACTGTGACTGCATATTAGCATCTCCTGGAGACTGATGCTTGTGTCTACCCCCAGGGGTTCTGATTTAATTAGTCTTAGGTATGGCCAGATCATCTGGCTATTTAATAGCTCCCCAGGTAATTATAATCTGTAGCCAAGCCTGAGAACCTACCTTAGATAATTCTAGTTCTTAAATTTGTTTTTAAGCTGGCCTTTTTTTTTTTT